ATAAATACAAAGCTACCTTACAAATAAAAATAATGTATTTATTAGTAATTTAACTATCCTTAAAGACTTCAAGAAATTTAAAAAGAAAAAAAATTACCAATGAAAAGAATAACAATATAAACATAGGTATATTAATGTTCTATATAAAGGGCATATTAAATGCTTTATACTTACAGATTTTTTTTGTGCTATATTAGGGGTGGGCAAAAGACAGCCTGCAGAGGTCTTTGCCTGCAGTGGGTTCCTTGGTCCTGCCTGGCCCGTGGTACACTGTGCTGCCCTCTGGGCACACAGTGGTGCTGGGGCGGCTCCACAGCTGGACTGCTTTTCTAGGCAGGCCAGGCAGTGGCAGCTCCTTCCAGCTGCCGCTCCTGTTGGCCCCAGACCCATAGTACTGGTGGGGACTTGCGCACACAGCCTGCTCTGGACTTGGCTCAGCAGAGCAGACCAGTCCAGAGCAGCCAGAACCCATGCACACAGCCCTAGCTCCACACCTGCTCCAGACTCACCTGCCCATGCTGAGCAGCAGTAGCAGCAGAAAAAAGCAGCAGCAACAGTGGCGGCAACTGGGCAGAAGCTGCTGCTGAGAACAGGGGAAAAGTGGCCCCTCCCCTTTCGCCACTGCCAGGCCCTTCTTGCTGCAGCTGCTCAGAGCCCGTGTGCGGGCTGCCCTGCAGCTCTTCTGCACTGCCACTGCTGGCCCGCTGGGCAGCCTGGAGGTGGCAGCGACAGCAGCAGAGAGGAGCTGCAGGGCAGCCCGGGTGTAGGCTCCAGGTGGCTGCAGCAAAAAGGGCCCAGCAGCAGTGAGGGGGAGGAGCCACTTTTCCTCCGTGCTGAGCAGCAACTTCTACCTGGCCACCGCCACTGCTAAGCATGGGAGAGCAGTCCGAAGCAGGCGTGGAGTGGGCCAGGGTCAGGGCTCTGTGTATGGGTTCCAGATGGTCTGTTCCGGCTGGGATGAGTCCAGAGCAGGCATGTGCTGGGCCAGGGTCAGGGCTGGGTGTTGCTGGAGGTGGTGGAACTGGGCTACTGGGGGGGGGCGGGGTTCTGACCAGCCCATGGCAGCTCCCCAGAACTGCCTATGTGGCCTGCAATTGCAAATAATTGCCTACCCTGTGTTAGATTAAACTCAAGTGGTATTTCACTGTTTTCTAAACAAAAAATGAATTGACCACACCATAATCAGAGGAACTGAAAATTTCAGAGAAAGACTTTCTGACCCAATTTGCAATACTCCATGAAAGGAACTGGAAATCTACCCAATTTTTCTAGATGAGGAGTCTCCCATACTAGGGTGCCCTGAACTAAATGACAATAACCTAGGATAATATCTCAACATTCATTTTAGATCCTTCCACTTGGCAAGGAGTTTGTTATAATTAGAATCTAAAATGTTCTATATTAAAACACATTCAGGTAATATGTTCTATAAAATGCATTCACTGCCTTATTGCTCCAAAAGTTTTAGACCATATCAGTGAAAACAATTTAACAAAGCAACTTTAAATACCAATCAAGATAAACCTTAAACAATGCCAGAACCACTAGAGCTCACCTGAAAAAATCAGGAAGCTACAAATGGCACTAAAATAATACGTGTTATACTTATTACTTACATGACCCAACAAGGATTTTAAGCTTATTCATAAATAAGTGAAATGTCATTAAAAACTGTTTTTATTAGCAACTTCTGATTAAAGCAGCAGTAATTTATAGGTTTTCATTTCCATTAAGAAATAAGAAAATAATAAGGTCCACCTGTTTGATAAGCCTGTTTTAACCTTTTTTTAAAGCTACTAGAGATCTACAGTTCCATCTTTTTAAAAACTTACAAAGGTGTTTGTACTCTGGTTGGAATTTTGGAAATATTACCTGAGGGTCAAAGCAGGAACACACCCAGATTTAATGGAACTACAATCAACTATTTCTATGTGAAGATTTAAGTACGGAAACATTACAATAATCTGTTCACTTTATCCAAGTTCTCATTTATGAAATGAAGGATTGCATTGTAAAGCTGGCAAAAAAACTGTCACTCAAATGAAAAATGGTTTAAAAAGTGATACATAAATGTAACACCTTATACACCACAATAAAATGAGAATGAAAGACTCCATGTAAGCCTTCTATAATTCACTCTGTCATTATGATGTCCTCTGTTAAAGTGCTGTAACTAATTGAACTCTACTTCCGTTATGAAACCAATTACACTGAACTCACTAAAGCCATATAGTTTTATTAGGATTTTGATCAGAATAAGGATTATAAAGTGTTCTCTAATAAATAGCTCAAAAACTAAAAGGAAACCAGTAAGCATTTTTGCCCTTTCTATTCCACTGTGATGCGAGTTAATTTTGTTGGCCTAAGTTTATACTGTTTGCTTCTAAGACTTATAAGCTTCTACAAAAATAAAAAGCCTACTATTCTTAGTTCAGAACCTTTCAATTTAAACACAAAACAAATTCATCTTTCTTGTTGCAGTTTATTTGGAGGTGCATCTTCCTGAGTGAGCACACTCAGTCCTGAGTCTTTTTCTGATTAAATAATGATCCTTAGTTCAGTCATTCTAATTTTAGGATTATCAATGACAAAATTACATAAATATATTAACCAAATCTTTACCTAAATCAGTGATGAGTATGGGTTCTTGCAAAGGAATATCTGGTACTGGAACACTGGTTTTTCCAACTCGAACTTTTGTAGGTTTGCGCTGATGTCGCAACTTCCTTAGTTCAGTGTGTTTAAAGTGTGAAGCAATGTGAGTTTTCCTATGGCCAGATGTTCTAAATTTTTTATCACAGTGAGGACAAGCAAAAGGTCTAACACCTGCAAAAGATTAAAATATGTTACTTTATGGTTTATTTACATTTCCCCAAGAATAAAAGTTGTAACAGTAAAAACTCAAAAAGAAAAGATTTTATTATTTGGTTTATTTTTGGTGCTGTTTTAGTAAATGACTAACTTCTAAAAGTAAAGGCTATATAGGAGTGGGGAAAGATGCAAGGAAACAAAAAATTACAAGTATCATACAGAAAAGACCGATCAGAGAAACTATGGGTCTTCTGCTCAGTGGAGAAGGTGAACTACTAAGAAAAGACTCTAAGGCAGCAGAATCACTCAATACATATTTTCCTTCAGTCTTCACAAAAGGAAATAAACTGTGACCACGTAAATAGCAAAAGTGAATATAAAAAAAAAGTGGAAGAGATGCAGATCATAAATTGAGTACATTAGCGAACTTGTTACAAATCTTTATTTAAATAAGTGCAGCCTGACAGAGGCTGACAGAACTTCTTGAAAGTCTGGGCCACTGACAATATTATTTGCAAACTTTTAGAGGACGAAGGTGGATCAAGGGGACTGGAGGTTAGCAGAATGATTACCTTTAAAAGGGGGAAAGGAAAATTCAAGCACTTAGGCTGCTTACAGGTTGGGGGGGGGGGGGGGGAGA